TGTGTGTGTGTGTGTCTGTGTGCGTGTGTGTGTGTGTGTGTGTGTGTGTGTTCAGCTACTCGGTGGTGGTAAACCGCTGTGATGAGTCTCTGCGGCCCTTCAGCTGGAAATCTCTCGCTGCTCTCAGCAGAACCACTGGGAACGTCTCTAAGGTACAGTAGGACTAATAAAAGCGCTTAATAACAGGAGTTTGATACCCACATCTGAATAAGTATCTCTAAAGACTGTCTGTTTCTAGAGGAGTAGTATATTTTATTATTAACAGCCTGTTTTTGGCACTTTCCACAAAAAATAGTACAGTTTGGAGTCCCATGGCTTTTTACAAACATTCCAAGCACAAATGTTTTTTGGTAACACTTAAAGCCTTTATGTACAGTTGCAATCACATTTAATCAACCCCCTTGACCTGCAAGACATTTTAATTTAATTAATTAATTTATGCATTTAGCAAGCGACTTACATTGCATTCAGGCTATACATTTTTTTTTACCAGTATGTGTGTTCCCTGGGAATCGAACCCACGACCTTTTGCGCTGCTAACACAATGCTCTACCACTGAGCCACAGGAGCACTTTTTGCCACATTTTACTGCCAAGAACAACATTTGATGAAAACAGTTCAACAAAGGCATCAGTAAACTATTAGAGAAAGTTTATTAAAACACATTTGAGTGAGTCTGAGAACGTAAAGTTGATGAATAATGAAAAAAAAAAATCTAATTGGCTCCAATAACCTGTTATTAAAAAAACCCTATAACTCAAAAACGTTACATTATATATTGACATTATCACTTTCAATATGCCAGTAAGCTGTCATAGGTGCCATTTTTTGTAAATTCTAGATCTTCAGAAAACTGATTTGTAAAGTATTCTGGGGAGGTTGATAAATTTGGATTGCAACTGTATAACGCATTATAAAGGTATGTACATAATGTAATGTTATCTTTCATTATATCTTTTAATAAACAGTTGTAACCAAAGTTAAAATGCATTAGAATATTTGCAGATTCCTTGTCACATATGAAATTGGTTGTTTGTATTATATTGTATTATAACTGTGGTTACAGTTATTCATGAGATCAAACAATGCATTATAAGGTGCATTACAAGGCTTTATTAATGCATCAAAAATACATTTATAATGCATTATATATAAAGGCTTTAAGTAAAGTGTTACCATGTTTTTCCGATTAACTGCTAGACTACGTCAGACGTCATGATGTTCTCAACATTACCCGACCTTAAGATGCAAAATGCCACCATGATATTTAGATTATTTAAATAAAAACTGATTTTAATTCATTTTAAAACATATTTGTCCATACGTCCAATATGTGCATGTATAACCTTTTGATGATTTTTACAAATGATGAAACGATACAATTGAACATTTCCAAGTACCCAAGTTTCATCCACTTATTTTTTGTTGTTGTTGTTTGTTTAAAAGTATAATATAGAATTGTAATTGAAAACTTTATATAATTTTAAACTAATATTAGTTTTTTTATTAACTTAAACCAATATTTGTTTAATATATTTGTAAATATTTTAATTTTAAAATATTTTATAATGTAAAAATAAAATCATATTATATCGATGGGTTTGTTTGTTGCTAGAAAGTTATAAAGTTGCATGGCAGAGTAACAGTGTTTTGGAGACAAGGTGTCAAAAATGACAAAATTCTGAAAGAAAACGAATAAAATGTAAGTTGCTCCTGAGGTGGATGATCAGCGGGTGATCTACTTTCACTGACCAAAGCAAGAGTTATAGGGCCTGATTTGGACCATATTAGTGGTAATGTTTTTTGTAAAGTGCAGTAAGTGAAACCTGTCCTGAACCTCTGGATGTGTTTCCTGCGAAGGAGCTGATGCTGTGCTCCGTCATCACTCCATCAGACATGACCGAAGACATGCTGTCCTCTCCAGAGTGTCTGAAACGATTCACTCTACAGGTACCACAGCACGCCCGAGTTCGTTCTGAGACACTGCTGTGCGTGTCTGCATCTGTAGCACTGTTTTATGTGTTGCAGGAAGTCATCGTGAGCAGATGGGTCTCCTCAAGAGAGAGAACTGAACAGGAGGAGATCTAGACCTTTATAAGCCAACATTCCCTTTTCCATGTTTATTTTGCATCAAGATTAAGCTGCGATTTATTTTTCTTTAATAATGTTCAGATGGTGTTTAAACAATGTCCAGACGCAGAGAGTGTTCAACAATAAATATACAGATCAAACAGAAGATCAGCGGAGTCTGTTGTGTTTCATCACTAACTCTCAAAGTCCTTCGTATGAATGATTCTGGGCTCAATCACCTTAAAGTGCTTTCTGAAAACATGTCTGAATGAGAGAAGCTTTACAGAAGTGGCAGTTCAGTTCATAAGAGTACAGATTAATAGGCACGTTTCATTCATTCAAATGATGCAAGAATTAAGCGTAAATCAGTGTTATTGCGCCTGTGATGATCCAGGAAAGTCGCAGTAGTTGGGGCTCAGTTGCTCTTGCTGTCCTCGTCCTCCTCACTCGGACCCTCGCCTGAGTTTCTGCGCGGACTGTCCACAATGTAGAAGTGGTTCTGGGAAATCTCACGGCACAGCATCATGTACTTGGAAGCCCTTTTGATCCGAGGAAGCACAAAGGAGCGTGTGAACTCCTCTTTACTCAGCGCTGGCTTCGACTGCGTGGCCAGAACACGGTTGATGAACATCAGCGAGTAGCTGTAGCAATTGTGGCTTTCCTCATTAAAGCTGAAAAACAAAGAACAGACTGATCCAGACAGCATTTGGACATTTAAAGGGGTCATATGATGCTGCTAAAAAGAACATTATTTTGTGTATTTGGTGTAATGAAATGTGTTTATGCGGTTTAAGGTTCAAAAAACACATTATTTTCCACATACTGTACATTATTGTTTCTCCTCTATGCCCTGCCTTTCTGAAACACGTAGATTTTTACAAAGCTCATCGGTCTGAAAAGTGAGGTGTGCTCTGATTGGCCGAATACCTCAAGCGTGTGACGGAAATGTTACGCCCCTACCATACTGTGATGATGCCCTGTCCGGCCGGAGCGATGAGACAAAAACATTAAAACCCATTATAAACGATGACTTAACTTTTATAACGAATATCTCTTTGGGTTTGAGACTTTAGTCTTTGCAACTTTAGGGATCGTATCTATTCACGAACAGCTTGTAACACTCCAAAGAGAAAGGAAAACTTGAAATCGCATCATATGACCCCTTTAAAAACGTCTGCATGTCATTTCCCGAAACTGCAATTTTCCTCATTTATGCTGGGTGACTTCAGCGTTTGGGGTGTAGAGGCTCACCTTTGCCAGGATGGGTCCCACATCTGAGCGGAGGAGAACTTCTCCAGATACTGATCCCACTGGCTCATCAGACTGAACATGTCGGGCTGAACCAGCGGGATGCAGATGCAGTGCTCCCAGCCCTGATGCTCTCTCTGAACACCCGTCTTCGTGTAATTGTAGACTATTCCTTCAGTAGCAACAGAAGAAATGGCGTTCACATATTTGAATGACACAAAAGACGCACATTGTGACCTTTGATTTATTTCACAAATAATTCTGCAGGTCAAATTCTATTACTTTTTTTAATGCAAAGTGCAATTGTTGTACTGTTTAACATTTGCATATGTGACCCTGGAGCACAAAAGCAGTCTTAAGTCGCCATCAGTGGAAGATTATATATTCAGCTTTGAGATGGTGTATAAATCTCAATTTTGAAAAATTGACCCTTATGACTGGTTTTGTGCTCCAGGGTCACATTTCAGTTACATCACTGAATCATCAATGAACTGACTTTAGCTGGAAAAATGACTCGTTATTGTCTTTGCATTATTGACTAACTATTTTCCTGTTTAACGCTGTAAAGCTGCTTTGACACAATCTGTATTGTATGAAGCGCTATAGAAATAAAGGTGATTGACTTGACTGTAAGCAGTGATCTTAGTATAACTGAGATACTATTACAGTTTTTATTAGTATTTTGAATCGGCTTTTGTTTTTATATTGTGTTTTCATTTTAATGTTTTAGTAATTTTGTAGTGTTTTTTTTTTTTTTAATTTTCACTTTTTTAAATGTGTAGTTAATACTTTCTATTTTTATTTCAGTTATTTTAGTACATCAAGTTAAACCAAATTAAAATGAGATGTTGCCTTGACAACTAAAAAAGTAGTGCTGTCAAACGATTAATCGCGATTAATCGCATCCAAAATAAAAGCTTTTGTGTACACAATATATGTGTGTGTACCGTGTATATTTAATTTGTACATATAAAGACACACATACAGTATATATTTTGAAAATATTTACATGTATTTTATATTCATATAATTTATATTATATAAAAATCTATAAATATATTTTTCTTAAATATATACATGCATGCGTTTGTATTTATATATACATAATAAATATACACAGTACACGCACTTATAATATGTAAACAACTTTTATTTTTGGATGCGATTAATCGTTTGACAGCACTAAAAAAAAGCTTTTAATATTTTCTTTCAGTTAACATTTATTTTTATTTATTTATTGGTTTAGGTTTAGTTTCAGTTTTAATTCATTATAATAACCCTCATGATAAGAAAACTAAAACTAACAAAAACTAATTTCTGTTAAATTTACTGTAAAATACAAATCTGGGGGTACAGGAACCTGACTTTAATTAAAAACAAAATACAATGACGGTTTCAGGCATTACAGGGTGGCATGAGAAACATACCTATTTAAATAAAATATCAACTACAGGGAAACTCTTACTGTAAATTAAAAGGGGACATTTCTTACAAAAAGTGCATGCCTTGTAAAACACATCTTTTACCTGTTCATGTAACTTAGTTGCACTCTTACATTCTTTTCCTGTTAAAATGACTGTTTGTCAGACTCAGTACAGTACCATTTGTGTTGCTGATTCCCGTGTGTAGATCAGAGCAGCCATCAAAGTCCCTGCAAAAACCAGCTGCATTTATGTCACCTCAGTTTCATCTCTATATGAGGACATTTTATGAAGGTAAAATGACGTCAAAAAGATTTGCATACGCAGGGTAAGAGTTGTGGAAGTGTACATAAGACTAAGCGTAAATTAAATTTGCATGCGCAACAGAAGCTTTGTAAAGGTGTAAATCGTGTTTCAAGCGCAAGAAACAATTATTTGCAGCATTTTACTGTTACCCGTAAGTGTAATTCATGTATTGTGAAACTGCAGCTTCATGCTAACGCAAAATAAATATGATCTGCATGCTTCTGACTTCCATTTTTCCGCGCTTACGCTTTTGGCACGTTTTTTTTGCCAAAAGACGGTCAAAAGCACTGCAAGCTTTACAAAGCTTCTCTTGCGCATGCAAATTTAATTTACGCTTACAGTCGTATGTACACTTCCACAACTCTTACCCTGCGTATGCAAATCTTTTTGACGTCATTCTACCTTCATACATTTCCTTCTCTAGCAGCTTCAGCTGACGGTCCTACCTGAGCGCACTGTCCTCTGTGGACGCCACTAGAAAAGCGCACGGGGCTTGGTGTCCGTTGCTGACGGGGTTCGGTATGCTGACCGGCGCTTCCTCCAGCCGCTTCCCACTGAAGCTAACGCCACATTCAGGACACTGATCCGGGACGAAGAAACAGTAGATGTCCTTGTCACAGTGGTTGAATTTGATGACGCTCTTATCCATCTGGAGAGGACGCGGGCGCTGCGCGGTCTGACGGAGGCCAGAGAGTATGAGGTGTGATAACTGCACTTGTATGAGGTGTGATAACTGAGCAGAAGCCTCATAAGAGAGCGCAGCTGCTGTTTCAGTGGGCTGTCGTCCACGGCTCACATGCACCGATCTGGTTTCAGCAAACACTAAACCTGTGGGGAAATGGGATCTGTTTGCACGGCAGCTTCATTAATGTTCATTAGCGCTCACGTGCGCCTTTTTGTGAAAGCCAACAGGACTCATTCTTTCTAAATTTGACTGTATATGAACTCTGACATATTCTTTACCAACAGACACACACACACAACTGAAACACAAACACTGATCCTGTTTTATTGGTGCTTAGAAATATCTTTTTATGCAGTGTGGTATGCAAATCTATATGTATTCAGATTTTATGACTATGTTAATTGAGAGAGTGCATGCAATGTGTAATAGCTTGGAAACTGTAAACTATGCAAATATGTTTCTCTTGAGTTGATAGGAGTGGGCGTCACTGCAACTCAAAACCAGGTCTTTGTTTAAAACCTGCATTTACAGGTTTACAACCTGTCATGAGTAACTGAGCCGCATGTGGTAAATGAATCCTGTAAACACATCACACTACAGTGACAGCGGTGTTAATGCGGCGCTGGGCTGACAGCTGTGTATAGGCTTGCCAATCATTTATGAAGACATTTGTTTTGCACAGACTGATTGTTTCGCTTGATAAGACTTCAATATATCGTCAGGAGCCACCAGTATTCATTTAGCGTCGCTTGTTTTGACTCTCAAAGTGAAGGCAGCCGTGGACTTGCATGTTATAAATCCAGCACCGCGGTTTCAGCTACAAATCTTTACTGTTGTACTGAAGAAAAAAGCTCACCTACATCTTGGATGGCCTGAGGATGAGTACATTAACAGCAAGCTTTCATTTTTGGGTGAACTTTCCCTTTAAAGGCATGCATTAGTACCTCTTGAAAGGGTTCTGCCGTAGAGACAGCTTTCTATATACAGTATATTGCACTTCTATAGTGTTTTATGAAGAAGCGTGTATCACATGTCATGATCTGTATTAGCGATGTAAAATCCATGTTGTAATATTGCATGATAGATGTTGATGTATAGCGACACGGTCTTCATTCTGGGTAAAATGTGAGATCCTGTGAACTGGTCTCTGCTCAGAGACGCTTTCCCATCCAACGAGCGCATGTGGTTAATGAAGGTCAGAGCGAAACCATAACAGCACGATCCAAACTCCCTTTCCTCATCAAACCTGCCGGTGAACAAAACATAGTGGAGCAGTTATGGCCGTTTTTGTGACTGGGATTTTACCGATTCACGTATTGTTAACTAAAACTAAATTAAAACAATAAAAACATGTTACTTTAAATAAATGCTAATAAAAAAAAATTGCTACATGCATCATTTTAATTTAGTTTAGCTTGATGCAAAATAGCACAAACTAAAATAATAATAAATAAAAATGATACAGACATAAAAAATCTACAAATTTCAAAATTGAAATAAAAAAAAAACTGATTCAAAATATTAACTATAATAGAATCAAAAATAACATGGTACATGCATATATGTCGATGATTATTACATAACATATGAAACATCTGATAGTGATATTGCGCAGGACTGTAGCTGTACCGCTCTGAGACCCATTCTGGCAGTGCAGAAAACTGCTCCAGCTCTCGGTCCCATGATTCCCTGAGCTCATCTCTCCACGGAGGGCAGAGCTGTATGCAGACACACTGTTCCCAGCCGCGGACGTCTCTCCGGACCCCTGACAGGGTGTAGTTATAGACCAGACCTAAACACACAAACCACTGCTGAACAAGCATAACTCGGCTATAGTCTGCACAAACAATAGACAATAACTTTACATTTTTATTATTGTGTTATAGTTTACTTCATTGCTGTAATTTCTGTATATGTCTGTACTTTGTTCTGCACTGGAAGCAGTTCTGTTACCGAGACCGACTCCTTATGTGTGTATAAACATAAGAATTACAGGTGGGCCGTACCTTCTGAATTTGAGAGTCCCACGTGAATCTCTGTGTCATGCCATTCTCTGGAGAACAAAATAAATAAATGATAGAATGTTAGAAACAGGGCAATAATATACACACTCACTGCCAATCAATAGCGTGGAATAATTCAGATTTGTAATGTTTCTGAAGTATTTTCTGCTCACCAAGGCTACATTTATTTGATCAAAAATACAGTAAAATTGTGAAATATTATTACAATTTAAAATAGCTGTCTTCTATGTGAATATCTGTTAAACTGTAATGTATTTCTGTGATCAAAGCTGTATTTTCAGCATCATTACTCCAGTCTTCAGCGTCACATGATCTTCAGAAATCAGTCTAATATGCTGATTTGCTGCTCAAGAAACATTTCTGATTATTATCGATGTTGAAAACAGCTGTGCTGCTTTATGCATTTTATTTTTCAGGATTCTTTGATGAAGCTGCCATCTTTTGTCCTTCCTGTCACTTTGGGGCAGTTTAATGCGTCCTTGCTGAATAAATGTAACTTTTATGAATAATTATATAATCTCGTAAACTCACCCAAGATGTGATGGTCCGTGCATAGATCCTATCAGAAATGCACAGGGGACTGTGTGTCCATTTCTAATCGGACAGGTAAGCGCAACAGGTGCGTCTAAAAGTCCAAATGCGAGAGTGTGATGACAGATCGGACAGCTGCGCTGTGAATCATCAGCTCGAGGAGAGCATGAGGCGTCTGGAGCAGAGAAGCGGTGAATGTTTCTTCCGCAGTGCCTGTATTTGATCACGGTTCTCTCCATTAGCGCTCAGCTGGTCTCGCGCTACTGTCGTGCTCTGAAGCTGATCTCGCGCTGGGGACGTCACTGAGCTCGAACCCGCTCCACCAGGGGGCGCAAAAAAACCCGCATCCTCAAGACAGCAGCATACCTTAGACACATATACAATTTAAATACTTCGAAAATGAAATCCAAATATCTCTCTTTTTACGCTATTTGACGACAATTTCCCACTTTTCGATACTTTTTTTTATTTTTATTTTTTTTGTTCTATCACTTATCCCAACTGATTCCAGCTCAGTTGTCTGGTTCAGTTCATTCGTTCGTTTCCGACAGCTTTCATAATACGTGTCTGCTTTGAGTTCATCACTGAGGCGGAAGAAGCACGAATCATTCTTTTGAGTCGGACCTCTAATCAGTTGAACCGATTCCATGCTTACTCTGTGAACTGGGTTTGTGAAACGAACCGTTCGAAAGAACCGATTCGCGGAAACGAGTCGCTAGGCGGAAGCAATGGTCAGCGTCGTCGCGGTGTAGCCGGTGATATTTTCAGGTTGCACAAACCCGTGGAGACAGTAACATTTCACAGAAAAACATCACATTGGTAGCCGGATAAAACATGTCAACGAGACAGGTGACCTGCAGGTAAAGAGAAACACCAAACCGTCATGATACAGCCGCTAAAGCATCGCTGTGTTTCATAAGGTCACTGCTAATATCATCACATGAGAGAAAATGGTGCGGCTGGATTGACGCATGTGCAAACCTCTTACAGCTACAGTTGGTGCTGGTGCTCATGCTCTCGTCTGTCTGCAGGTATTTTCTGCACGGGGTTTGTCGGGAGGGCAGCAGGTGCATGTTCTCTCATGATCTGGCCACAAGCAGACCTTCAACCATCTGTAAATACTACCAGAGAGGAGTGTGTGCGTATGGAGACAGATGCAGGTGAGTGAGTTACACACACTTGCCTAATAAAGCAGATGCAAAACCATTTTATGATCAATAAGCTGTTATTCTGCCCCTCTAGCCGATCAATCGGAGCACCCCTAGTTTCTTGGATGAATAGCAAGTTCAGAAGAACAGCATTTATCTGAAATAGAAATATTTTGTAACAATATCAGTCTTTATCATCACTTTTGATCAATTTAAAGCATCCTTTCTATATAAAAGTATTCATTTCTATAATTTCACCCCATCAAAAAATGATACTGACTCCAAGCTTTTGAATGATGTAGTGTACAATGTTACAAAAGTTTTTTATTTGATATAAATGTTGATCTTTGGATGTTTCTGTTCATCAAAGAATCCTGAAAAATATGAACTCAACTGTTTTAAATATTGATAATAATATTTTTTTTTTCTTGAGCAGCAGCATATTATACTGATTTCTGAAGATCATGTGACACGGAAGACTGGAGTAATGATGCTGAAAATACAGCTGCGCATCACAGAAATACATTACAGTTTAACGCATATTCACATAGAACACAGCTATTTTAAATAGTAAAAATATTTCACAATTTTACTGTATTTTGGATCAAAAGCAGAAGAGACTTTTTTTTTAAAAACATTAAAAATCTTACTGTTCAAAAACTTTTGACTGGTAGTGTATATATTTGCACACACACACACACACACACACACACGTATATATGTGTTATGCATGTTTCTAGAAAACAAAATGTTTATTTATTTAAAATCATGGTAGAGGGCATGACCGTTGCCCTGACTGAAGAATCCGCATGTTTGTTAGTTCAGATGTGAAGTGTGCGGTGTGTTTTCTGACAGATATGATCACATCAGGCCTGTCAGCCGTGGCAGCGGCCCATCGGCGGAGCAGCCGAACAGAAGCAGCAGCGCAGGAGCGTCGGCCCCGGGACCCGGACCCCCGTCAAACACAAGCAAACATGCCAAAAAACCTCTGGTGCTGAGAGACAAAGGTGTGTGCAGTTCACACGCCTGAGATTACAGTAAGATGATGATGATACAGTAAGATGTGTGCTGTGTTTCAGCGCTGGGCTCTGACAGCAGAGCGGGGCCCGGTGTGAGGGACTGCTGGCACGACGGCGCTCACGGCAAACCTCACTCTTACCTGGATGCCATCCGCTCTGGCCTGGAGAGTTCGGCCGACCCGTGTCCCGACCTGGGCCAGCAGCCGCAGCTCTGCCCGTACATGGCGGCGGGACCGTGTCACTACGGCGACAGCTGCCCCTATCTCCACGGCGATCTGTGTGAAATATGTCGGCTGCAGGTTTTGCATCCGCACGACCCTGAACAAAGAGCAGCGCACGAGAAGGTGACTGAACCTACAGCACACCCTGACTCTCATCCATTTCATTCAGCTTTTAAAAAACAGCATGTTGAGTGCAACAGTTGAAGAAAATAAATAAATAAATAAATCCATGGGCCGATTTCTGCTCACATTTCTATTTTACATTTAATCATTTAACAGACGCTTTTATCCAAAGCGACTTACAAATGAGGACCAGAAGCTATCAAAACCAACATAAGAGCAATGATATATAAGTGCTGTGACAGCCTAGCGAGAGTATTTAGAATAGAATAGAGAGTGCTAGAGTTAGAGAGTGGAGTGTTTTTTAATAAATAAAAAGAAAACAAGTAGATCAAGTACAATTAGAATAGAGTGCTAGAGTTAGAGGGTCAAATGAAGATGATTAATAATAGTAAAAATACAATTTATTGAAACACAGAAACTCAAAGGTCTTCAACTCGCCAAAATAAAGGTCGAGGATGTTATGACGGAAATAAATGACTAAATTAATACAATTTATTAAAACAATATTTTTAAGGAATGTCACAAGTTTTTTTTTGACCATGTTTACACAGTAAATGTGTAAAAAAAAAAAAAAAAAGATTAATAAATTTATGGTACAGAGACATTACAGTGTTTTTATAATCTAAATAAGCCATAAAGCTATAAAAAGGTCCAAGAAAAAAAAAACAGTAAAACTGCCAGAATGGTAAAAATATTTTTTTTTTTTACAGTTTTACTGTATTTTTAACACTATGGTAAAAAAAAAATATATATATATTTGTACAAGAATGGTAAAAAATACAGTAATACAAATGAATATATATATATATATGTGACCCTGGAGCACAAAAGCAGTCTTAAGTCGCTGGGGTATATTTGTAGCAATAGCCAACAATACATTGTATGGGTCAAAATTATAGATGTTTCTTTAATGCCAAAAATCATTAGGATATTAAGTAAAGATCATGTTCCATGAAGATATTTTGTAAATTTCCTACCGTAAATATATCAAAACTTAATGTTTGATTAGTAATATGCATTGCTAAGAACTTCATTTGGACAACTTTAAAGATGATTTTCTCAATATTTAGATTTTTTTGCACCCTCAGATTCCAGATTTTCAAATAGTTGTATCTCAGCCAAATATTGTCCTATCCTAACAAACCATACATCAATGGAAAGCTCATTTAGCTTGCAGATGATGTATAAATCTCAATTTCGTAAAAAACGACCCTTATGACTGGATTTGTGCTCCAGGGTCATATATATATATATATTTATTTATTTAAGTATTAAGTAAATTTAGTTATGTTTCATGCTAATTCTGTCATAGTTCATTCTCATAATTTTCAGTGTGCTTACAGCTTCCCTGCAACGCTTTCTGATTATCATACATTGTTTGACTCGATCAAACGTTGAAATATTGTGATTTCTTCAAAACTAGTTGCATTTGTTTTAACACATGGTTTAAAAAATAATTTGTGCATAATCCCCAGATGTGCATGACGGCCTTCGAGCTGGACATGGAGAGAGCGTTTGCAGTGCAGCAGAGTCAGGACAAGCAGTGTAAGATCTGTCTGGATGTGGTGTATGAGAAGTCGTCTCCGTCGGAGCGGCGCTTCGGCATCCTCTCCAGCTGCTGCCACTCGTACTGCTTGAGCTGCATCCGGCAGTGGCGCTGCGCCGAGCAGTTCCAGAACCAGATCCGCAAGTGAGTCCAGAGCCGCTCTGATCTCAGCCCTGGGGGGAGCGCTGTGCAGTAACCTGAGCTGATTGCCTGCAGGTCCTGTCCCGAGTGCCGCGTGGTGTCGGAGTTCGTCATACCCAGCGTGTACTGGGTGGAAGACCAGGAGGAGAAGAACCGTCTCATTGAGGAGTTCAAGTCTGGAGTCAGGTGTGAATAAAACAGCTTCCCACTTCAGAAACCACTTTCTTCTTTTGCAAGTTTACAAAATAACTGGCAAGCTACCCAAAAGGCACTGCATTTCTATTTTTATTTTTAGAAAAAGAGCATGTTTTGCATTGAGTTTTTGTTTTTATCTATGCATTTTGAACAAACGGTGTCAGTTTTAGTGATTCTAATATAGGTTTTTTATTAATAATTAGAATTGTTTATTTTTATATGTGACCCTGGAGCACAAAACCAGTCATAAGGGTCAATTTTTCGAAATTGAGATTTATACATCATCTCAAAGCTGAATAAATAAGCTTCCATTGATGTATGGTTTGTTAGGATTGGACAATATTTGGCCGAGATACAACTATTTGAAAATCTGAAATCTGAGGGTACAAAAAAATCTAAATATTGAGAAAATCATCTTTAAAGTTGTTCAAATGAAGTTCTTAGCAATGCATATTAATAATCAAAAATTAGGTTTTGATATATTTACGGTAGGAAATTTACAAAATATCTTCATGGAACATGATCTTTACTTAATATCCTAATGATTTTTGGCATAAAAGAAAAATCTATAATTTTGACCCATACAATGTATTGTTGGCTATTGCTACAAATATACCCCAGCGACTTAAGACTGCTTTTGTGCTGCAGGGTCACAAATGTTCCATTTTCATTTAAATTTTAGGTGAAGTTTTATATTTGGCAACACTTTACAGTAAGGTTCCGTTTGGTAACATTAGATAACTATATTAGTTAACATGAAAGATACTTCTAAAGCATTTATTAATCTTAGATAATGTTGATTCTAACATTTACTAATATATTATTAAAATCAAAAATACATCTAAGTGAGCTTCGTGTCGTGGTCCTGATCACCATCGGGGGTTATTCAGCGATAACAACCGGCTGGATGTACATTATCCCACTTATTACACAGCTACTTGCCACAGAAGTAAATAATTAGACACGAAATATTGATCTGAGTTGAAATATTTGAACGCAAAGCTTCTGTGAAGACAGCAGTTGCTAACAAGCGGCGAGTTCAAACTAGATGGACATTAAGGGATACATAAATAATTATGGCGATAAAAGATACTGATTTAAGACAAAACTGTTTAAAATCTTACCAGTTTGTTAGTTATCTTATAATCCATTACAGCAGGGGTGTCAAACTCAGTTTCTGAAGGGCCGGGGTCCTGCAGAGGTTAGATTCAACCCTAATTAAACACACCTGATTCAGTTAATCAAGTCCTTCAGGCTTATTTGAAAACTACATGGTTTGTGTGTTGGAGCAGCGTTGGCTCCGGCCCTCCAGAAATTGAAATGTGTAATTTCATATTTAATGGACCTGAGCTATATTTTTATTAAGTAATGTTAACAAACATTAAAAAATATTGTAAGAAATGTATTGCTCATTGTTAGTTAATGCATTAAATATAGTTAACTGGAAACGTATTGTTTTGTTTGTTTGTGTGTGTG